TGACCAACCTTATAGCCTTCTATGAGGAAGTAACTAGGTGGATGGATGATGGTAGAGCGGTAGATGTGGTTTTCTCTTGATTTCAGTAAGGCATTTGATACTGTCTCCCACAGCATCCTCATAGATAAGCTAAGAGTGGGCTTGATGATCAGGTACTGAGGTGGATCAAGAACTGGTTGAAAGGAAGAAGGCAGAGAGTTGTAGTCAATGTGGCAGAATCTAGCTGGAGGTCTGTGACTAGTGGAGTCCCTCAGGGATCAGTGCTGGGACCAGTGCTGTTTAATATTTTCATCAACGACCTGGATGAGGGAACTGAGTGTACCCTCAGCAAGTTTGCTGATGATACTAAACTGGGAGGAGTGGCTGACACACCAGAAGGCTGTGCTGCCATTCAGTGAGATCTGGATAAGCTGGAGAGTTGGGCAGAGAGAAACTTGATAAAATTCAACAAGGGCAAGTGTAGAGTCTTGCATCTGGGGAAGAACAGCCCCATGTACCAGTACAGGTTGGGGGCTGACCTGCTGGAAAGTAGTGAAGGGGAAAGGGACCTGGGGGTCCTGGTGGATAGGAGGATGACCATAAGCCAGCAATGTGCCTTTGCGGCCAAGAAGGCCAATGGCATCCTAGGGTGCATTAGAAAGGGTGTGGTTAGTAGGTCAAGAGAGGTTCTCCTTCCCCTCTATTCTGCCTTGATGAGGCCGCATCTGGAATATTGTGTCCAGTTCTGGGCCCCTCAGTGCAAGAAGGACAGGGAATTGCTTGAAAGAATCCAGCTCAGAGCCACAAAGATGCTTAAGGGAGTGGAACATCTCCCTTATGAGGAGAGGATGAGGGAGCTGGGTCTCTTTAGCTTGAAGGAGACTGAGGGGTGACCTCATCAATGGTTACAAATATGTAAAGGGTGAGTGTCAGGATGATGGAGCTAGTTTTTTTTCAGTGATGTCCAGTGACAGGACAAGGGGCAATTGGTGTAAACTGGAGCATAGGAGGTTCCATGTTCACATCCATGTGAACAACACTCTCACATTTTACTGTGAGAGTGACAGAGCACTGGAACAGGTTGCCCAGGGGGGTTGTGGAGTCTCCTGCGTTGGAGATATTCAAGGCCCGCCTGGACAAGTTCCTGTGTGATGTACTCTAGGTTACCCTGCTCTTGCACGGGGGTTGGACTAGATGATTTTTTGAGGACCCTTCCAACCCTTGGGATTCTGTGATTCTGTACTGCCACTGCTGCATGCCAGTATAATCAGTGAATAACAAGCAGAATTTGGTAGATAACCTGCTGATGTATGTACTGTTGTCATGGTTTAAGCCCAGATGGTAACTCAGAATCACGCAGCCCCTCACTCACTCCCCCTTCTTCTTCCCCGCTCCTGGAGGGCTGGGGAGGAGAATCAAAAGAATGTAATTCCCATGGGTTGATGTAAGAACAGTCCAGTAACTAAGGTATAACACAAATCACTACTGCTACAACCAATAATGATAATGATAAAGGAATTAACAAGGGGAGAGAATACAGTTACTTACCACCTGCAGATCAATACCCAGCCTGACCCAAGCATCAGTCTGGCCTTCCAGGTAATTCCCCCTCCCAGATTATATACTGGGCATGACATGCTGTGTTATGTCTAGCTTTGGGTCAGGTGTCCTGTCTCTGCTTCCTCCCAGCTTCCCGTGCCCCTCCTCACTGGTAGAACATGAGATTGAAAAGTCCTTGATCAGAGTAAACGTTACTTAGCAACAACTAAAACATTGGTGTGTTATCAGCATTGTCCTCAGACTAAAGTTGAAAACACAGCCCTGCATCATCTACTATGAGAAAAATTACTGCTACAGACAGAACCAAGGACAACTATATATGGTCTTTTCTCACACTGATTAAATAATGCATACAGTTCCTACTATTGCATAATTAGCCTGAGTTTGACTGTGAGACTTGACCTCAGAAAGTCATGTGAAATTATGATCTTCTGAATTATCATCTTTGTATTGGCAATTGGTTCTTGTAGCATATGCTATAAATAAATGTGAAGACAGAACATAATGTCACATACTCAAAGGTCAGAAATTCCTAAGTAAGGACTTTTGGGTTCTTCAGAACAGAAAAAAGGTTAATAAAAATAACGCCAGTTAGTCTGGTGATGTCCTAAGAAGCTAGGTTGGTGAGTTTTGTGATTTCAAGTTTTACATTTTGAGAGGATTCTAGACTCCCATAGGACTTTGGAGAAGTGCTTATCAGTTGCTAGTTTTAGTGCTAAAATTTCAACTTGCTTATCACAAAAGCCCTTCTTATAAGGAACCAAAAGTGTTTTTTAGAATTGTAGGGCCTTTTTCACTGCGGACCTTTAACTGTTGACAACTGTCTTAAGCTATCAGCAGGTTTCAGGGCAAGCCTGAGATTAATGTGATTGTTTAGGCCAGGTCATAGCTGAATGGAATTCTTTGATCTCACTAAAGGTTCAAATAAGTGTTTTTTCCATCTTAAAACTCTGATTCCAGTTTCAACTGCAGCCTTTTGTGTTATAGCTATAATGCAAAGGAGTGCAGAGGTCTTCCTGGAAACTAAATTAGGATGACTGCATGTGGGAGCTGGAGCGGCATTAACAGAATAGAAACCAAAAATATTCACCTTAAAATAAAATACTGTTTCCTTTGAAATTTTCTTTTGGATAGGTGTCCTTTTTGCACATGGAGGTCTTTCTACTCTTATCCTATTTTATTATTTACCAAAAATTTCTTAACCTAGCTTTTAATCAAAATAAGGTACTGCATTCTCTTACATCTTCCCTACAGTAGTTTTGGCCAGGTCAGGTCCCTAGACTTGGAATGTATTTGCATGGACTGGTAAATTCAGACCATTCAGTATCTGGTATGACTGAAAGAAAGCAGCTTATCTGTAAATTACTTTAAGTTTGAAACTATCTCTGTTCATCCACACAGATGTATTCTAATAAAAACAAAATGAAGAAGTATCTAAATGAAGAAGTATCTAAAACAAATCCAGTTGGTTTTGTTTCTATTGTAAATGTACAGACTAAGATTTTTTTAAATTATCATGTCATTTTAGTACATCTGTTTTGGGCTGTCTTACTTGTGACCCTCAAGGAGATTTATGGAGAGCACTGATAACATACTAATTTGTAACACATGGACATCCAAAATACATTTTTTAGAGTGTTGATATTGCACAAGCTTCAGACCAGCCATTTCCTTTTAACTGACTTCTGGGCTGGGTTGCTCCTTGGTTTATCTGAGCAGGGAGCTGGTGGTAAGTATGGTAGAAGTCACAGTATCACACAGTATCACAGTATGTTAGAGATTGGAAGGGACCTCAAAAGATCATCCAGTCCAATCCCCCTGCCGGAGCAGGAACACCTAGATAAGGTTACACAGGAACGTGTCCAGGCGGGGTTTGAATGTCTCCAGAGAAGGAGACTCCACAACCTCCCTGGGCAGCCTGTTCCAGTGTTCCGTCACCCTCACTGAGAAGAAGTTTCTTCTCAAGCTTAAGTGGAACCTCTTGTGTTCCAATTTGTATCCATTACCCCTTGTCCTATCATTGTTTGCCTCTGAGAAGAGCCTGGCTCCATCCTCGTGACACTCCCCCTTTATATATTTATATACACTAATAAGGTCACCCCTCAGTCTCCTCTTCTCCAAACTATAGAGACCCAGCTCCCTCAGTCTTTCCTCATAAGGGAGATGCTCCACTCCCTTAATCATCTTAGTTGCCCTGTGCTGGACTCTCTCCAGCAGGTCCCTGTCCTTCTTAAACTGAGGGGCCCAGAACTGGACACAGTATTCCAGATGAGGTCTCACCAGGGCTGAGTAGAGGGGAAGGAGAACCTCTCTCGACCTACTAACCACCCCCCTTCTAATACACCCCAGGATGCCATTGGCCTTCTTGGCCACAAGGGCACAGTGTCGGCTCATGGTCACCCTGTCGTCCACTAGGACCCCCAGGTCCCTCTCCCCTACACTGCTCTCTAACAGGTCGTTCCCCAATCTATACTGGAACCTGGGGTTGTTCCTGCCCAGATGCAGGACTCTACACTTTCCCTTGTTATATTTCATCAAGTTATTCCCCGCCCAACTCTCCAGCCTGTCCAGGTCTCGCTGGAAGCCCACCTCCAACATTTTAATCTGCCCCTTTGTGAGTGCTTCTAGTCCATTTCGGGAGGGTTAATCTATCTGAATACTGACCTGGTTAACAGAGGGCAGACTCAGCTGACTACTGGCTTTACCCTGAAAATTATTACACACATTCTTGCAGTCAGGAATAGCAGACAGGAGATTTAAGAAGCTGCCAGGAGCACTTCCATTTGTTTCAGAGAGTGTTAACCTGTTAACTGACTGTAAGAAACTTCCAGTCTATTTCAGGATAGTGATGGACAGATGATTATAGATCTCTAATGAAAGTAATTTAACTCACCTTTCTGTCTTTGATCAGAAATAACTGCAATTAAGTTAGAGCTACTAATTTGTGTAAATTACTGTTCTTCAGCTGTTACTTCTCTGTTGGTTTTAATTTACTGGGAAATTCTCATCCTTAGTTTCCAGGACTAAGATTCTGGTCACGTGTCTCTACATTCACAAGTTACAAGGTCTCTCAGTCTTACTGCTGCAGTCTCTTCCCTGTCTTCAGCCATGGTACTTTAATGATGATTCACTTTAGTTTTAGCACATACTATCATGATTCATAAATATATGGTATATTTTAGCTGAAGGCAGAATAGCTTTGGTAGTTCAGCTCCAGATACTGATGAATGCAGCCCAGATCTAGACTGAGTAGCACGGCTTTATTTAAAAACAGACAAAACCCAAACCCAAAAGTAAGCCACACCCTATTTCTTTTAAATAGGCAATGAGTATGGCATCCTCATGAGCCATATCAAAGCATGAAAGGTATAATGAATAACATATCTTATGCTTTCAAAGGATGAGACTGTTTCTCATTCTTTAAAAGTGCTTTTCATTTTAACTAGTCCTGTTCAGAGAACAGCTGCTCTAAACCACAGCGCAGATCAGAAGACTTTAAACAGGAAGCGTCCTTGCCGCTGCTGCAGATGCCTGACTTCTACCCGGAGTGAACCCGTTCGCTACACAAAACGCAAGAACAACTGGCTGATTAATCCTCCAGCAAGAGCCTGCTCTAGGAAGATCAGGTTGCAATCCTTCCTTTGTAGCTTTACACCACACCCCTTCAATGTAAATTAGCAGGGAAGGATTCTATTCAGTACTGATTCAGGAATTCTTTCTTCAAGAACTGTTGCTAGGCGTTTGGTGAGTACTTGGCACAGACTTTGTTTTATGTGAGAGTTTTTTTTCCTTTAGCTGGCACAATGGTGTACCTACTGATATGTTTTCTTTAGAGTGTGGTAGATGGAGGAGTTAGGTGTTTAGATTTAAACTCCAGCAATGAATGCTGCAAAAAGGGAGACTTTTTTTCTCTGTAAATTTGAAACTGTAGAACGATTAATATACTTTCATGATTACTAATAAAACTACCCTTTTGTTGTCAGAATGTCAGACTAAGGTATTTTGAGCTCCAAGATAATTCTTTGAAAGTAAGCCATCTTAAAGATAAATATGTTAAACTTGATCAATAGCTGGAGTTCGGAAAAAAGCTTTTGTTTTTTAAAACGATTTCTCCTCTACAGTAGCTCAAATGGAGGCTTGATTCAGGCAGAGTGGTCTGCCATGCTATTTTAAATCATTCTAAGGCATTTGATAAGTAACATTTGAAGCAGTTAATATTTTGAGAAGTACAAGAACATTTTAGAGAATAAAATTAAGCTGATTTTGCTGTATGCCAATTTCACTCACAATGTATGTTGAAACCCTCAAGAAACTATAAACAGTGAGGAGGGTAGTGAATGAGACTTACAGTGGTGCCACTTTAACAAACACCCCACCACCACTCCCCCAAAACCCCAGAATATTATTGGTGATTTGTTTTCATATTTTACTTGGAAGAATTGACATAAACATTTTTAGTAGCTGTGTAATTAAAAACAGTAATACTAGCTTGTAGTAAAAAAGAAAGTTTTCTGGAATTTAAATAACTACTTGTAGAATATCTAAATGCAATTTAAATGAGGAAAAGACATGCAATGATGGGAAGACTGGAGTAGGGAGAACAACAATAATTTGGATGGAGAGCAGTATGTGAAAGGGGTATATGACTCAGTACCCTAGAAATTAGTCATCAAAGTACTTCATGGAAAACATGTAAAGATATAAACCTTACTTCCTGAATGTCTTGTGGCCAGATGCAAAGACAGGAAGTCCAGCTGTCAGTATGGATATGAACAGCAAAGGCAGGCTGTAGGAATTGCTAGGCATATACTTAGGGAAAAATTGGAAACCTTTTCTGCTCTTTATCTTCTGCTTGTTATTTAAGTCTACTAGGAGAGAGCTTGTGATTGTTAAGGCAGCAAGTATCTAGATCCACAGTAAATGTTTGTGTTTAAGCTGAATTTGAGAATTTTAAACATGTTGACGTAGTCTGAAATGCACACAGAGCAATGTGAGGAGGTAAAAATTATTAAAACACATTCTGCTCATCTTTTCTCCTGTCAAGTGTGTCCCATGTGAAAGGTTTCATTAAAAAGTAGTCATGTGGGCAACTGCTTTGATAAATCCATTTCTTTGAAATGTTCCTAACTTTTATGCTGGAACACAACACTCTCAGTGTGTTTTAAATTGACTTTCAGTAATCTTTATGTTTATCCTTACGCTGTGCATTGCATAGTTTGTAATCTGGAGATTTAATGTATTTCAGCTGTCCAGAGTAGTTTTATGACCTTTAAAGTGCATTTACCTTTTTTGTGCAGTGCCCACATTTACTAATATTGCTAATGAAAACTCAGTTGTTACTCATGCAGATAATATTCTAAATGGAGAATAATTGTAAGTTAAAGTTTTATGACCTTCTTGACTCAGGATATGTAGAACAGCTAATGGCATTGAATTTATCCATTTTATCTCATCAGAGAGTTAATTTTGGAAGTTTAATGTTAAAACCTTATAAATTGTTGGTATCTAATTTAGGGTTTAGTGTCAGACATACAGGGCAGTGAGGGAGAGTGTACAAAAAGGAGGCAGATACTCTGTCAGAAATAAAATTTTAAGAGACGTGGGGGGGAAAGTGCTCAAAGATAGTGTCTAGGAAATAAAACAAAGTTGTAAAGGAACAAACTTTTTAACAGGCTTTCAGAGAACATGTCCAGAGCCTTTAGTGAGTTTAAAATCTCACCTGTGTCTGCACCAGACCCACAGTTACAGAAGAAGAGTTACTGGATTCCAGATCTAGCTTCAAGGACTGTTTACATGTTTTTCCAAAAACCCTGGTTAAGTGTATAAACAGGAGCAGATACTAGCATTCAGATTGTTCTCAAGTAGAGGGGCACTGATATTGTTTACACTATTCTTCTGGCTGTGGATTTTGAGTTACTTTTAGGACAGAGAACACAGGTTGCTTCCACAGGCATATCAGTGGGATTAGGATAATTTCTGGAAACGTGGATATTAAATCTCTTAGAAAAAAGACATCAGCACCATCTCCGCATTCTGGGAATCTGCTTTAACATCTGCATCTACTTAAAGGTGATTCTGGCAGTAACTCTCTTCTGCATTTTAAAATAAACTCATAGCTGCATGAAGTGCTTTGTAACCATTATGGTCTTGTGCATTCAGTAAGCTAGTGGGAATGTCTGCCAGAGTCAGAGTGTGTGTACAGGAACAAGAAAATATATATCACAACCCAAAAATACAACATCAATAGATCTTAGGAGCCTCAAGAATTATATGATTCTATACCTCACAATTTTTGAGCTGCTTAAAATATGTCTAACTCCAGTACTTACTAATGCTCTTTGGCCTACATTCTGAACATATTTTCTCTCTAACAACTAGAAGAAGCTGATGGGGTCTTCACATTGAGAGCTGGGAGGACTGTCTCTAAAAAACAGGGACAAATTACCTACTTGTGTGTGTTTCTCTTATGAAACTGTTTTTTACAATAGGGACAGAGTGCCCCTGAGGATAGAATGAAACAAAGCCATATGGGAAATCATATGATTCCTTTCCTCTCATAGTTATTTCACACCAAAATAGGCTTATTTTTAGTCCTTTTAATTTTCTCTCACAACTCCTTTGTTCAGTTTCCTTAATTATTTCCTGTTGCTGTAAATACAGCTCGTCATTTTCCTCCTTTAGTATTGGTGCTATCTTCCATGATGTGTGCCATTCATAACTAAGTATACCTCTGAAGTTAACTGGTTAATTTGATTTACTGTTTACTGACAAAATAAAACTAAGCATCTGAACATGTTAATTCAGGATATGATCTGGGCACAAGAAGGTTCAGCCTTCTTCCAGAAACTAGAGCATTCCTTAAGAACTGATTTAAAAAAAATCACATTGAAAATAGCAATTGCAGCAAGTAAATTAGAAATACAAGTATTCTGTGAAGGAAATATTTAGCTGGTACAATTTTTATGCTTCACAGAAATGTCTGCAGAAGTGTATTATGAAATGCAGAAGCTTTTTCTGTAAACATTTTCCAGTTTGGCTGAAAAGCAATTTTTTTTTCTGTATTTGTACAGTCTCTAACATAATGAGGTTCTGGAAAATGTTTTATGCTTTCATCAGTCAGAGAAAAGGTAGCGTAGAAAGATGAGGCTGAAGTTTTTATGCTCTAAGACTCATTTGGTGAATTCTTTAGGTCCACAGAAACATAGAAGTATACAACCATAGAACAGTTTGGGTTGGAAGGGACCTTCAAAGGTCATCTAGGCCAGTCCCCTTGAAATGAACAGGGACTTCTCCAAGTTTAATCTGGCACTGCCACTAGAACAAGCAGTGGGAGATAAAGGGTATATGACCCTTTCTTTTCTATGCCAGCATTATTTTATGTTGGTTTTAAGTAATTGCAGGGCAATAATCTGATGCAGTCTGAATCTGGGGGCAATCCCACTTATTACTGGTAATTTCAACATTTCTAACTTGTGTGATGGTCTAAAGCTCATACATGCACTGCAGTAAGCATGTTTGTGGTGTCTCCAGCTACGAAGATAAACAGGGTGCTCTTAACTTGTTTGTCAAAGCCAGGAAACTTATATTTTGATGTTAAGTATACATGCAAAATGTGAGCTATGTGATGATGAGTTTACAAAAGGTTAATAGGTATGGTCAAAATCAGTCACAAGAGGCATCAGTGTGGCAAGTAGTTTCCTTCTGTGTCTGCCTGTTCTATTTTCAGTAACTGATAGCTCCACTTTAGTGAAATCGAGTAGTCTGTACAATGTGAAATTACACACAGCTGGCTTGATATCACATGTACAGCACTGAAATGGCCATTAGAGAAGGTTGTGGTAAACTAATTGGCCTCTAAATACATGACTATTTGTCAGTAAGCACAGCTGAGATTAAGAGCATACACTATACTGTTCCAGTCCAAACTGCTAGAAAAAAAGGCTGGAGGTTTTATAATGCTAAAGTTGGGACTTCTATGCTGTGTTCCTAAACCCATAACTAATATTGCTGCTTGGTTGGTTTTATAGTTGCTTTTGTGCTCTGAGAGTAGCTGTTATTAGGATGCTCAAGGTGTTTCTCTTCGAAAATAGGTTTATATGGCCTATATTTTTGCTACAAACAGGTAGTTTCTGTCCTAGTACTGTTTTGAATGTGGTGGGTTTGGTGTTTTAAGATTTATGAAATTATGTAAACTAGTTATTTGGTGTAGTCTACATTTAAAAATATGTTTGCGGGAGCAAACTACAATATCCTTTCCCTGTTGAAACCCATGTCCCAGTGAAAACAGGCTGTATACATGGAGTAGAGATTTACCTGAACTGGGATATGGCATGCTAGACTAATGGATTTGCCACATCTAAATAAATAACTGGCTTCTTTCTTTATTCCCGTTTGAATCAGTCTTCTCTGAGGTAGAAACTGAAGTTTAAATCATGCTCTCAGTAGGTCCTTTATGATAAGCTAATAACGTTGGATCATGTGGCATGTGTTTTATTTTGGGATTTTTTTCCTTATGGGTAGTAGAAGTAGCCACAGAACCATTAGTCATTCTTGTCATGGTTTAAGCCCAGCCTGTATGAACCCAGGGCAGTTCTCCATCAAGGTATCACTAGTAGTTATATGGTTTGATGTAGGTAAATCCAGTATTCCAATAAGACGTGCATCAATTTTTAAGAATCGCTCTTCATTTCAGAGTTTGTAATTCACATGAACTGTTGCATCAGGTGCTCTGCACTGCTTGATCA